TCAAAAGTGACAGAGTTTGAGCCATGTCAGTATAGGAAGGTTTGCATCTGCTCACTGTTTAGCTCTGAAGGTGATGTTATACCAAGACAGATCACCGGTCCATCTTCCCTGACTGACAGTGATTCTGCACGATTTCAGGCAAGAGTCTTTCTCAGTCTACTTGGAGAAGCAGGGGACTGAACTTAGGCTTTTCTGTGTGCAAAGCAGGCCACTGAGCTACAGAGACAAACAAGAAACAGACAATGTGAAAAGGCGGCTGAACTCCTTCCTGCGCCACGGTGAAAATGCATTCATTTCAGGCCAGCCTAGGTACATGACAATTTAGGGATGGATCTCAATAAGAGGATTAATCTGGCAACCCTGCCTCTAACACATGACTTTACAAGCCAGGAGGCAACAGAATTAAGAATTAACTAAAAGTTAATTTATTATTATTATTATTATTATTATTATTATTATTATGCTTAGGGTGTAAATGCAGCATATTCAGAGCACATGTATGTAGCGTCGTATTAAAGAAAGCTGTGGGAATCCAACTTCCAAGCTGAGCTAGGCGACTATATGTTAGGATACCCTTCCCCCACTGTAGGAGATTAAACACTCGTTTTGCAATATGCCCCAACTAAGAATTTACTGCTGCCTGTTATTTTTAGCAGCAGAAGAGAGATTAAACGAAATCCGGGATTATTTCAGACAGTGTTAGAAATGAGCAATATTTTTTTTTTTTTTATCACTGGGATCAGTCTGACCCAGTTGAGATTTGATAAGGCTTTGGTGCTTCTTTCTGAAATACTCACAAATGCTAAAGTTCCTCGGGCCAAGTTGTCCTTCAGTGGGGCAGAACAGAAAGTCGAGGGGGAGGGAAACTGGCCATGAGGTAATATACCCCCCCCCACTTCAAAACAAACAAGCACATCCTTCCTTTCCATGACACACCCCGGATACACCCCAGGGCTTTATAAATGACATTTCTTAAATGCAAATGAGTGCAATGATAGGCCGGTGGTCTGACTGTATAAGGCAGCTCCCCATGCTCCTATGAAGGGAGAGCAAGACAGGCAGGGTGATATGTCAACACTGAGAATGGACTATAGCTGCTGCTGCACCTTCTTTTCCTTCCTCCTTCTCTTTTGTTGATGGGGAAAGGGGGAAACAGGAATATGGAAGGCTGAAAGATGAGGAAAAGCTTCTGCAACAGTGCTTTGGTTCATAAACCCCTTGGTGGCAGTGTGGCAAATTTTGAAGAGTTGGCTCCTGTGGCTACCTCCCCTCAAGGAGAGTCCAAAAATATGGACAGTGCTTTCAATTCAATTTAAAGCACCATGATACCACTTTAAACGGTCATGGCTTTCCCCAGGAAATCCTAGGAACTGCCATTTATTAAAGGTGTTAAGAGCTGTTAGGAGATCCCTGTTCCCTTCACAGAGCTACCATTCCCAGAATTCCCTGGGAAGAGGCGTGAGCTGTTAAAGCCCTATGGGAACCGTCACTGTGAGGGGAATAAGCCTCTCCTAACAACTCTCATGCCTAGTGTATAGTGCAGGTGGGGAGACACACACACTCATACATGCCCCACCCAAAAGAAAAGCAGTGCACTGCATAATTCCCAGTTCATTAGGATCAGTTGCCATAGAACAGATGTTCACAGAACATTGAACTTTAACACACGCTGAGCTTCAACAAGGCACAAGGAGGGCAGTTTCCCATTTCTGCTACACTCCATCATTTTCTTCCTTTCTTGATTAGTTTTAGATCCAATCTTTCCTCCAAGGAGCTTAAGGCAGAATACATAGTTCCCTAGTGAGGTTTGCGGCGGAGCTGAGATTTGAACCCAGAACCTCCCTGTCCTAGTCCAACACTCTAACCATTACACCACAGGAGCATAGCAGACATGGGAAACTTTCCATTAAAGGTATTGCACTTGAGATGGCTAGGAACTGCCATGCAGATGTGCCTTAACACTATCCTAGGTCACTAGAGCAAATCATAACGTATGGTACAGGAAAGTATACAATGATGATGCTTGTATGTAGTGGTATCTAATGACAATGATTCCTCTCATCTTCATTTGGATTCTGTCTCTCTCTCTCACACACACACTCAAACTTGTACACTAAGTGGAAGCTACAGGACTGAATTATAGACCATTCAGTTTTCCCCTTGCTGGGATCAACACTGCAGAGTATAACATAACAGAAAGATAGAAAAGTATGTTTCATAGAAAGGGATAAAGTCATATAAAGAGAAGTTCAAATGAAAGAAATGGGATTTTGTGTGTGCATGTGGGTATACTGGATTTCTTGCCACTTTCAAGCTAACCCCCTTAGTTCACTTCAATACAATCACTGAAGTAGCTGGGGAAAGAGACAAAAAGATATGCTTTGATATGGCAGATCAACCCCAAAGTTTCCCCTCCTAATAAAATAAAATAAAAGTCTCTTTTGTATATACCGTTTACAATGCAAATCTCAAGTTAGTGATTTCAGGCTCACTTCATGAGGGACAAAGAAGTATCTAGACACACAGAGATAGATAAAATAGAATAGATCTGCAATGACGGGGCATCTTTGATAGTTCAACAAAAGTTTTAAAAATAAAGGAAAATCATTTATTTTCCCTGGCTACCTTGAATTAGCTCTCTCTGTGTGTGTTTGTATGCATAGATGGGCCTGGGTGAGAATGTTGCTGTATCATTACATAAACTTAGCAAGCCATATGGTTAAACAGCACCAGTTTGCATCAATCAGTACCTCTCTCTTATGGGTAGGATTCCCTCCTTCCTTTTAAAAAGGGAAAACATAACAATATGCTTGGAAACTGAACACCTGAGTTGGCTGCCTGATTATAGAAAGCAAACACATTTTAAGAGCCAAGTTCCTGAAACATCTGCTGGATTTTAAAATCTCTCCATCTTTATTAAGTAAAGAGAGAATAACGTGGGTTCCGGAGTATTACATCAAGGATTGTGACTTGTTATATATTTTCTTTTGGATTTAGATGAATCTGCCTTTTGGTTTTTAGGCAGTCTGCTCCTGTTGCAAAAATGCCCATTTTAAAAGAATGGCAAAGAAAGCTGTTGTAGGTAAGCAGGCCAAATGAAAAAATAAAAATGTTGGATTTTTATATGCTGCCTTTAACATTCAAAATAACTCCTGAAAAGGGTTGGCCAAGTCACACTTTAGAAAATACCTCTCAAACAAAAGTCTACTTCCTTCACTTTTTTTTTTCAAGCAAGAGTCCTCTTGTTTGTTTTTAGTCTTTCCACACAATTTGGGTGGGTGTGGTTGCACAATCATTGTGCATTTCCTTCCCATAATTCCAGATAAGCATTGGCATGTGTGTGTGTCTCCTTCGCTCTCAGCAGCAGGAAGGCAGACATACAGACTGCATAGCACATGGTGCCTAATTTGTGTGGTCCATCAGGATCCGGCGTCCCCCGCCAATCAGCATTGAAGGAATAGCAGACTTAGGTTGTAATCCTATGCACACGTACACCTGCAATGGGAACCCCATTGAACGCAGCAGTTGATACTTAACTTTGCCTGAGTGGGCTTCTACTTGGACAATTCTGGTTCTTCTGCTCCCCCTGCAGTCTGGGCTTCCCCATCCCCAGGGGTGGAGGAAGGGGAGTGCGGTGGGTACGGACGGACCTGGGTGTCACCGCTGAGGAGGGTGACAAAATGCTGGGCAGGGACTGCAGCACGCCTGAGCCACGTGTCTCTGCTGGGAGAGATGTAGTGGCTTGGGTGTGCACAGGCTCTGCCTGTCCAAACGGTCCGCCTGCTGCCTCCCCCCTTCCCTGCCCCTATGGGCGGTTTGCCTCGCCCCTGGGCGCGCTGCCTAAGCGACTTCCTCCGCCACTGCCTATCCCCCACCCCAGTGCTCTAGCAGGCTCCCCAGTTCCCCAGAGTATTTTTTTTGGGGGGGTGAATGGGGAAGGAGTGGAAGGGGAAGCCCTGTTGCATGAGTGGAAGTCTGTTGTGTTTGAAGGCAGGCACAATTGTATGCCACCCGGTAGGATTCACTTTTGACAAGTATAGGAGCACACTGTTAGGCTTATGAAGAGTCAACCCATGGTCTGTTGAGCCCAGGTGTATCTACTTTGACTGACAATAGATCCCTGCAAAGCATGTACTCTACCACTGTGTTATGGTTCTGTGCCTTAGAACAATTCCATTCCTGCCTGTTAGGGCTACCTGGAGATTCACTAATCTGTAGGTAGGAATAGGGATGCAAGAAGGCAGCCGTTTCCATTCCAACCTGTATTCATCAGAACCAGTGCTGTTTCTGTTCTGCTGCAGTTCAACTTCCATCAAAAACGATGTTTGTCTTGCTGTCTGCTGGCTGAATTTAATGTAATCTGTGACATCGTTAATTCCGCGATTCCGCTCCATTCCTTTCACTACAAAGCGGATTCATTTCAATTCATACTAAATGTCAGGAAAAGGGTGGGTATAATTAATGATGAATCATTTGCAGACTAACACCACTCCCCCTGAATAACGAATATGAATCAGATTTGCTTGCCTGATTCCTATTCCTGGCAGCAAGCATGCATGCAAATCTGCAGCAGTTCCCGCTTTTGTTTCCACTTAGTGCAGAATTAACTGCCATCCCTCAATAGGAATGAGGCTGTTTCTGCACACAGATTTGTGTCTGCTTGCATGTGGGGCCTCCTCAAGCTCTCTTTAAGCTGATGGAATCTGTCAACAAACAAACAAACAAACAAACAAACAAACAAACAAACAAACAAGAATTCATAGAGCCGCTGTTACGAAATGCTAGATTAAAGCCAGGGAGTGTTCATTTAAAACCAGAGAAACCCAGTTTCACTTGTCTCACAGGGTTGTTGTGGGGACAAAATGGTGGAAAGCATCATATGTGCCACCCTGAGGAGAAAGTGTGTGAAAAAATATCATAAATTAAAATAATACAAATCCATAATGCTTTGACTGTAAAAAAACCCCAGGGAAGCAGAACTTTTAGCAGCTCTTGATGGTGCCAGGATAGCCCAGTGGGTAGAGCAGGAGACTCATAATCTCAGTGTCATGGGCTTGAGCCCCAAGTTGGGCAAAAGGTTCCTGCATTACAGAGGGTTGGACTAGATGACCCTCATGGTCTCTTCCACCTCTACAATTCTATGCAAGTTGCATTTTTTGAAGTGCTCTGATAATACCTATGAGTTTCAATAATAAAACCTTTGTCAAGACTGTTGGCAGAGAAAACTTGGCAGGAATGGGATAGGATGGAATGTGTGCGTGTGTGTGTGTGCCCCACCACTCAATCAAAACCTACAAACCACTGATCTGTATGTTAAGCCTATTGGCACATGCAAGGCAATTTTGTTGCATGACTTACTGGGGAAAAACCAGTAAAAATAGAAGTCAAATCACTTAAAGAACTGCTGTTTAGTGAGTTAGAATGAATGAAGTCTTTCGTGAGTTTGTGCTCGCAAATTCATCGCTGTTTCTGTTCTAGCTGTTCCCCTAGCTGAGTCTCAACTGCCCCAGGCAGTCTTTTTGAGGACACTTGACCTGTCAGTCATATTTCAGAAACTACTGATATGGTACTTGCTGATTTAGTTTAGATTCCAAACAGGCTAGCTGCTGGATTACAGACTAATGACCCATCCGATGCTGAAGGCAAAGGCTTAAAGTGCGGGAGTGAATTAAGCCTCCACGTTGTCTGTAGGGGGAGAATTTATTATGTCATTAAATTTGATTCAATAAATTTTCTTTCTTTTCGATGCAGTGTGCCGAGCGAAAAGTAAAGAAGCAAATTCCACCCCGAGCACTGGCATTTTTGTTTGCTTGCTTTCGTTTACATCGGATGCAGGTAAATCATTGTGGTGATATGCAGAGAAGCTCGGGAGATGTGCAGCTGAATCTCTGAAATATCAATAGGAATGGCAGGTCAGGGAAACTGCACGGCTGATTAACTAAGCCTGGGTGCCTATGAACCAGGCTCATTTGAATACATGCTCCAGTTGGTAAATACATAGGAAAGTGAGGCTTGGCTTTCTTTGATGACCCCTTAGGTGTGGTTTCAAGGGAATATTCAATGAAATACCAAACCTCCGCAGTGTAAAGATATTAGCATTGCGTTATAGATAGCAGTCCAGATCTAATGCGAGGCGAGTAACCAGATAAGTCAAATGAGGATTGAGGGTCGGTTTGCTGAAGTAGATGGAAGTATACAAACGCAAAGATTGCGCCGATAATTTGAGAATCTTCAACATTTGGTGTTGTATCTGCCTGCATATGTCTCAGGGTTGTGTTGCAGCAACAGATAAGGGTGTTTATAAATAATAACAAATAGATTTCAGGAAAAGAGTAGCGCGATTTTGTTGTTGTTGTTGCTCCACATATGTAGCAGCTAATAAAAATTATTTGGGGAATTAAGGAAAATTTAAGTGCTGCTGCACTAAGCACATAATTGAAATGGAGAGTAGGGGAAGTGATGCTACTTAACCTACATTAAGATTGCCAGTGTTACATATTGTGGCAAGGGTAGGGAACTTGTCACACTCCAAATTTTGGACTACAATTCCTATCAGGCCAAGCCGTCTTGGCTAATGGTCAGGGATGATGGGAGTTGTAGTCCAACAAATATCTGGAGGACCAAAGGTTCCCCAGTCGCTGTATTATGGGGGGTCATGCCTGGGAACTATAGATACTGTTCACAATCCTGCAAATAAGTGTGGAAGACCAAGGCAAGGAAGATCAAGGATTTCAATACCCTTGCTTAAGCCTACCGAAGTCTGTGCTGGATCGCAGCTGCTACATTCAAGAAAGAAGTGGTTCTGGGATAATGAGCTACATTAAAGCCTTTCCCATCAGATTAGAAAGTGGTGTAACCAGAAGTTTATTTATTTAATATGTCCACCATGAGCTCTTCAAAGTGGCTGACAAGAGAGATAACATAATAATTTAACAGTTTAAAACATCCCTTGCAATCTGACACTGAAAAACCTAAAACAGGAAATAACAGAATACAGCAGCAATAAAAACAATTTGAAATTGAGAGACGGAATCAGTTCAGTAGAACATCAGTTTACAACCCAAATGTCTTCCTAAAAAAGAAAAAGAAAAAAGGTTTTTGACAATTTAACAAAAGCCATTAGAGAGGTGGCTTATGATGGGCTTCCCTTGGACACAACCACCACAAAGGTGTTTAGGGGGACATTGGGAAGGCCTCCAGAGATGATTTCGGTAGGTGGTCAGGCTTTTGTGGAAGAAGGTGGTCCTTCAGGTAACCTGGTTTAGGGCTTTAAAGATCATCACTAGCACTTTGAATTATGCCCAGAAACAAATTAGAAGCTGGTACAGCTGGTTCAACAAAGGACTTACATTCCCCCTATATGAAGCCCTTCATAGCCTAGCCACCACATTCTGAACCATCTGTAGATTTGAAAACTCTTCTGAGGCAGCCCTTTGCAAAGTGCATTGCAATAATACAGATGCGGTGCAACCAAGATATTTATCATATAATATTACAGACTCCAAATTCATATTGAATTAATGTGCTCAGTCTATTTTTCTTTTGCAGTCTTTGATCTAAATAAAAAAGTGTGTGCTTTGATGCACTAACGACCTTTCCCATTAATTTCAATAGACAAGAGAGCTGGGTACATGCATCCCTTGTGTATGCTCACCTGAGCTATCCATTGAAATTAATGGGGAAATTGCTGCAGCTTTGTATGTAAATTTGGATTCCAACAATCAGTTAATGGGTAATACTGACTGGATACTGTACACCAGCTGTTGCTTATTCTAACTGGATTTCTACAGTTTGCTGTCTATGTCCCTCTGAAAACGAGTGCAGATAGCCATATATGCGCCGACTGACGATTGGTTCCCATTCATTCTCTCAGAAGTAGTAGCCATTTTCTCCAAGTCAGTAAAATCACTGTTAAAAGTAATTCTGATTTATAACCATAAATGGCTCAACATTCTTTGGAGGCTGGAAAAGACAAAGTTCACTTGGACTTCTACATTTAAACAATTTCTCTATTGTGCTTTGGGCTATTAAGGGACATTCCAGACTGCTTGCCAATTACGCCCTATTAGCGTAGTAGCAATTTCATGGCATTCATGTGACAATCATACTTCATCCTAAGCAAACCATCACGGCAGCAGTAGCAGCCCCACACTTAAAAATAACTGCTTCCACAAATTATTAGGTGGGGCATCTGAAACGAAACTTAGAAAATACCAATAGCCTAAACTAACCAGCTCTTCGCTGGTAGCTGCATCTAATGCCAAAGTAGTTTCTTCAGCTTAAAACTTGAACATGCTTTTAAAAAATTGAATTCTTCTTCTTTTTTCTTCTTCCTGTGCTTGGGGAATTTCCCAGCTGTTTGGGAAAGAGCTAAATATTGTGCTAAAGTCTAGAATAGGGTTTCTGTGCAGACATTCTAAACCAATGTGGTAATTTCCAGATCTTGTGGACTTCAACCCCATCAGCCTCAGCCAACACAGCCAACGGTCAGATATGATGAGGGTTGTAGTCACAACATCTGGAGTGCACCATGTTGGCTACTTCTTAAGTATTTGGAGAAATCAAGAGGTGCATATACATTTACAAACCAGCGGGAAATCTCTACTGGTGCCTTTCACATTTGAGTGCTTCCTAGTGGCCTATCACATCCACTGTATATAGTCTTCCTTTCTCCAAATTCAGAAATCACTGGACCCAGGCAAGATCTTCCCCAATTTTTGGCAAGATAATTTCCCATTTAGTCCACTGAATAAAACTTGGGGGAATTTATATAAAAATAAATCTGAGTGGGACTACTTGTAATGTCTGTTGCCCCTGTAAATTTCCAACCAGGCACATACTCGAGAACTTCTGGACTCCATATGGCTGCTGACACACAGGCAGACAGACAGAAGAAACAAATGCATAGATGTGAAATACCAACGATTGCAAGAGCTCCTATTTAAACCCCTCCCCAAGGGGATAGTTTTAATGCCAGATTGAATGCGTCTTACTTTTTCCCTTCATATTTTATACAAAGTCTCTGTAGCATACTTTCAGTCTTGAGCGATCGTAAGAGAAATAGCTTACCACTGTTCACAAAGAAGTCTAAGTGTGTTCCTTTAGAGATCACAAGGAAGCGCTTGAACCTGATTTCCGATCACAATGATGAGGAAAGTCGAATTGCTGCTTTGCAGTCTGGAGAAACCGAAAATTCAGAGGAGAGATATGATTTTGTTTGCATTTTAAGTGGCATTCTCAAACCACTATGTGAACTGCCCCACAGCTCTTCTTTGAAGTTCACACTTCTCTGAATATTTGGATGCAGGACTCCAACCAAAAAACATTCTACAAAACCTTAGGGGAAAGTACATAAACATATATATATTAGTGAAAATAACATACAAAAGTGCATCATGTTAGAGAAAATTGCTTGCAGAAATGTGCATGGTAATATCAAGATTGCATACAAACATACTGGTATGTTTATCAGGACAAATCCCCATTAAAATGCTGATGAATTTGCATGAAGATTTATGTATTTTTTAAATCAAATTGTGACAGAAATGCAGAGAGCTGAGCTGAATATTGGAAGAACGAGAAACTGAGAGAAAGGGGGGAAACTGAGAGATTGGTTCATCCCTTCTTTTTGTCCACCCCCGTGGAATCCGATTTGATGAAGATCAGCCTAGAAATGCTCTAAATAAATAAAGATCTCTAATGTCCATTCATTTCCCCCCTTCTGTTTGCTGCTTAAAATAAATGCCTGTGGTTGAGCAACAAGGGCGGCGCTGGGAGAAAATAGAGGCAAAATGAAACATTCTCCCTGACATCTTTTACTATCACTTCGCAGCCAAAAGTATAAATGCTGCGTTGTTAGTCAAGGCAGAATCAAGCTCCTGTGTCTTGTTAAACAGAGTTGCACATTTCCTGCTCCAGGCCCTCTTTGCAGAACAGTCCTTGTGCCACCTGCTGTAGCTGTCTTTTGAGTCTGGGGGTGGGGGTAAGGTGGGGGGTGGGTGGGAAACAGAAATAAGAAGCAGGTCTTCAGCAATACTTTGTAGTGTGAAAGTGATTTCTGCAGGCTGTGAAAG